CTAGTTTCGGTTGTTGAGTTTAGTGGGCAGCTGCTGGGTGGTGTTGGTGACCTGTGACATACAGGAAATCAGACTCCACGATCTGGTGCTCCCTTCTGGCCCTAAGCTCTATGCCTGCATGATTCTATTACACTAATCCTTAGAATAAGGAAGTAACAGGCTGAGAGTTATAGTTTGGAAGCGGAGAGCGAAAAGAAATGGAAATCATGTATCTCTTTAATAAACATGCCTTTAATAAACAAGTTTCAGAGTGGCAGCTGTGCCCACGAAAGCTTATGCTCTAATGAATTTGTTAGTCTCTAAGGTGCCGCAAGTACTCCTGTTCTTTTTAGTAAAAAAGGCTCCTTGCCTTCTACAATGTCTTTACAGATTAATTTCCTCCTTCCAGGTTTATAGAGAGATGAGTGTCCATTTTTACAGTGTCTTATGACTATATGACAAATTGACCATCTAGCTGCTTCACAGATGTGCTCAGCTAGGGCATCATTCACCTGCCCAAGATGTTGGAGAGTAATGAGCATTAATTCCTTCTGGAGGGATGTTCTCTCTGGCACGCTATGCTTCCAAAATATGCTTCTTGAAACATCTGGCAATTTTGCTTTAGATATTTCCTCTAAAATTTAGGTCACAGCACATGCACCTGGTACAACATTCTGAAGTCTTATGAACTCTTCAGCTACAGATTTAAATGTCTCCTGACATATAAAAGTATGGCTAAGATGTTTCTTTTGCTCAGGATGTGGATAGTAATATGTTAGAAAGCATATTTTCTACAGACCATAAAAAAATAAATCTTATGGGTGAACTGTAGTTCTTGGAACTTCATTTTCTTGGTGAAAAGTGCATAATTCATCATTAATAGAGCTTTCACTTGTTATATTCACCTGACAGTAGTGATGGCCATCAGGAATGCCACTGCCTTGATCAAAAAGTACAGCAAAAATTCACTGATTCTCAGGAAGAGGTTAGAAAGTTGTGTTGAGGCAGCAATTGCTAAAGCAGAAATATGTCGTCTTAAACTCAGATCTTGGTAGTAAATAAAGGAGAAAATTTGACAAATATTTCTGGCCCCAATACAGCAATGCACTTAAACATGTGTGTAACTTTGAACAAGTGAACAGGCCCACTGAAGTTACATGTGCTTTGCTGGCTCAAGGCCTTTACTTGTAATTTTTAAAACTATAACTATATCCTCTTGCTGATTTGGGGTCCTAACATACTTTTTTTCAAATTTTTGTACCCCTTTAAATATTGTCTTTGTTCAGATATTTTTGTTAAAAATAGCCCAGTTTGTAAAGATTTTCCCCCCACAGGCAAAATGTTTCAATCATTGAAAACTTTTATTGCCAGATAAACAGGGAAATTGCTTGGACAGCAACTTAATGGAGGAGTCCTGCTCTACCATGCATGACACCTAGGTTTGATTCCCAATGCTTCATTTGCTTGAGCAGCAGGAGCTGGGAACACTTCTCCATCTCACTTCAAGTGTCATAATGATTTCATTATATGAGTCCATAGTAACCCCTGTGAGATTGTGTGCAGTAACTATGCACCTACTGTGAGTTATCATTCTAGGTGTTCTTTGATTGGTTGATGCAAGATGGGTCAACAGGTCACTAGTTGGTTAGTGTTAATGCATTTGCCACTAGTGTGCCACATTTGAAATCTAGACTCCCACAGTGGTAAAAAATAAGGAAGTATTTCCTTATTGTAATGAACAGCATGTATATCATGTAATGCAGCTGGGCCATGGTAAATAGAGTAACTGTTTTTAAGTGAATTGGAATAATCTGAGGACAGCTTAATCTCTCAGCTGTGATGTTCTCTCATAATGGGAAAACCTGCAGGAATAATTACAGCGCGCACACACCCTCTAAGTACCTGGATCAAAACAGGAAGTCATATCAAAGTAAATGACATAGAATCGGCATTGGCATCAGTGAGGCTGCTTCTCAGAAACTAGAGCTATATAACGAGCTGTATTACACACGTTGGGAAAAGGGTTATCTTTTGCATCTCCATGTAGACCTGACATTAAACATAATACTATTTTACAAATAAATCTAAACATATCTGAGTACTGGGAATATTTACTGAAAGCAGGTTACACTTCTAAAATCATATGTTTACTGATACATTTCCTTTTAGATATTAATAAAGAGGTTACTTCTAGTAATTACTGTTCTTCAAGAGTTGCCTCTAAGCATTCACATTTATAGGATTTGGCACCTCTAGTGTCAAGCTGAGGAACTGTATGACAAAGCCATGTCCACTGGCGGAGTGCAAGAGTGCTGTCAGGCTAGATGACATCATTGGCTCTGTCTATATAAGGTAGCACATCCTGTCTCCGACCTACTCAGTTCCTTCTTCCTAGCCCACAGAGTCCTAAAATACAAAGAACTCCAAGGCAGAGAGAAGGCAGGTGGATACTAGGAAGACACTGATGCAACTCTCAAAGAACAAATAATTTACATGTCGGTAATCCCTCTTTCTTTTTTGAGGACTTCTGTGCGTTCCCACTTCTGGCAGATTAGCAAGGACTGTCTCCAACAGAGGATGGTGGGCAAAGATTTCTAGGCAAAAATGGACTGTAGCTTCACCTTACCAAAGTGAACATTGGATTTGGTTGTCAAGTCCAATGAATAATGCTTATCAAAAGGAAGAATTGAACTGCATGTTGCTGCTTTGAAAAACTCTACAATAGTAGAGTAGACCAGTGACGTGTTTTTAAGCCAAGTACTACTGGTTTTGGAGCTAAAATATAACAATGGTTAGAACAAGTTTTGAAAGAGAGCAGTTAACGACACAGAGGTAAACAATAATGGTAATAAAATACAACATGGTGTTACAAAAGGTAAGTCATGCCAGTCCAACCTGATCTCTTTCTTTGAGAAGATTACTGCATTTCCTTTGTCTAGAAAATCGGTTGATCTAATCCACTTGGTACTCCTGAGGGCGTTCTGCACCAAAAAATTAAAAATTCTGGGCCATTTTTTTTAAAATTCTGCACACAATATTTTAAAATTCTGCAAGTTTTATTTGTCAATAAATAAAGGCAGAAGCTCCAGCATGGTCATGGGGAACAGAGGCTACTGGCTCCACAAAGGTGTGAGGTCACCCTGAAGCTTCCCCACCCCTCCACCCCGGGGACACAACTCAGTGATGAGGCTGCACGTGACCCTGACATAGCACAAGGCCTGGGCCTGCCCCAGAAACACCCTGGGGCCCTGCCCCTCTGTGCCAGGCACACCAGGCGTGGGGCAGGCAGGTTCAACCAGGCAGGATCCAAGTGTGGAGGGGCTCAGTGTAGGGGATCCAGGTGTGGGGTGAGAGGGTTCTGTGTGGGACAGTCTTGGTGCAGGCAGCTCAGTGGAGGTCTAGGTGTGGGGGGATCTGGATACACAGAGGCTCGTTGCGGGAGTTCCAGGGGCAATGGGACTCTGCAGGGGCTTGCAGGAGACTTGCCTCACCATGACAACCTGAGTCTCTCTTGATTTTCAGTAGGACCTTGCTGATGAGTGGAATCGGAGGAAACCTGTACATCAGGCTTCCTGCCAATGGCAAGAGGAAGGCATCGGAGAAGGAGCCCGGCCCCAGACCCCATTTGGAGCAAAACCTGTGGCACCTCCTGTTCTGCCTGGTGGCGAACAAATCCACTTGGGGAGTTCCCCACCTCTGGAAGATCGCTCTGGCTACATGCGGGTGGAGCACCCACTCGTGGTGACAGGATGAGTCCCTGCTTAGGTGATCTGCTAGTGTGTACTTGGCACCTGGAAGGTGATCCGCTTCTAGATGAATTCTGTGGTCGATGCAGAAGTCCCAGAGATGGAGTTCCTCTTGGCAGAGGGCCGAGGATCATGCTCCCCCTTGTCTGTTGATGTAGAACACTGAAGCTATCTTGTCCATCAAGACTCTGACCATTCTGCCCGACAGGTGAGGTAGGAAGCCCGCAAGCCCTGCGCACCACCCTGAGATCTTTGACATTTATGTGTAGCGTCATTTCCTCTGGGGACTACATTCCCTGGGTCTGGAGAGTGCTGAGGTGCACTCTACAGCCAACGTCCAAGGCGTCCGAAACCAACTTGACTGAGTGAGGAGTGCTGACAAAAGGAACTCCTTCCAGGACTTACCCAGGGTTGGTCCACCATCACAGCGAGGTAAGTATCGTCACTGGAATGGTAACAACCTTTTCCAGGTGGTCCCTTGACAGGGAGTAGAGTGTCACCAGCCATTGCTGTAGCGGTCGCATCTGGAGCCTGGTGTGTGTGGCGCACCACATATGTGCACGCTGTCATGTGACCTAGGCGACGCAGGCAAACCCTGGTCATGGTCAGGGGAAACATGAAGACTTCCGCGATTGTCCAGGTAAGGATAAATATGTCCTTTCATCTGAGATGTGCTACAACTACCGGGAGGTATTTTGTGAAGACCCTTGGGGCAGTGAGAAGACCAAATGGGAGGACATAAAATTGGAAGGGTCACCTGTCAACCAATGAGAAGTCAATGGGCTTACACAGTAATAGTGACTTATTTTGTGAGTGAGTAAAGGTATCAGAATCTGTCCTTTAGGCAGAAAGGAAGGAAGAAACGAGTCAACTGAGAAAGCTATGCAAATAAACTAGATAAAACTTTCACCACAAATATTTGAATGTAGTGGAGGTCTAGGGTCATAAATCACTTCCAGAATTTTGTATAAAGCACTGAGCTATGTCACAGGGCCTATCATACGCAAATAACTGCTACTCCGTATTTATACAAAACACTTAAAATAAAGGATTAAACATACTGTTTGTCAAACTAAGGAAAAATACTTGCAATACCCACTTTTTTGGTCATACACTTCACCAAAAACCCAACTGTTTTTTGTTGGTTATGATGATTAAAAAATGGCTATAACAGTCCAGATTGTGATACCCTAAGGAGTGTTGCTGAAATCAAGAAGTTTGGCATGCATTCTCTCCATACAGTTTAGTGTTTTTCTTTTAGACATGATATCTTACCAAATAAAACCATCTGTGTTCCCTCTGGGAAAGGTTCCACTGTTCTGTTTCCATTGACATGGTGTTTAGCTAAAAGACAAGAAGAAAAGAAAAGTGTAGTAAAATATCGATTGCTATGGAAACACAAATACTCTTTTCAAAATGGCTCTAGGAGAGCCTGAAATTTGAGTGGTCAATAACTATGGCACAGGTGTACGTTAAGTTTTGCTTACTAATCTGTATGTCAAAAATATATCAGGTTTCAGAGTGGTAGCCGTGTTAGTCTGTATCAGCAAAAAGAACGAAGAGTACTTGTGGCACCTTAGAGACTAACAAATGTATTTGAGCATAAGCTTTCATGGGCTAAAGCCCACTTCATCGGATGCACTGATGAAATGGGTTTTAGCCCACGAAAGCTTATGCTCAAATACATTTGTTAGTCTCTAAGATGCCACAAGTACTCCTCATTCTTTTAAAAAAATATATCAATTCACCTCTCAGTGTGGGCTGTTATCCCATAAGAAGACCTGTATAACCCTAGTGATGTCTGAATTTAAATAAGAAGGGCCTGTTTTTCCAGAGGTTCTAAACCCCACAGTTCCCTTGGACAAACTGGAGTTCCACTTCGGTTTTATATTTCGGACAACTTGTCTATTTCTAACATGACATAGAGTAAGCATTATATAAACATGAATAATCATCATCATCACAGTCACAAGTGAAGCATTCTTAAAAGTGGAATTCTGACCTGTACAGAGGACGCAGGAAAAATGTAATCTTGTATTGTTACTGCTGTTGCTACCTTTTGACATGACCACACATGTGAATTTTGACTTTTTTCCATGCTGCCTATCAGTAAGCTAAATTAAAAATTCATGCATCATATTCTAATGTCACATTAATTCAATAAATATCACTTCAATAATAGGCAATGGTGTATATAGTTCATTCTGTTTCTACTTTACAGATTACCCATACTTTATACTGTTATAAGACTACTACATTATTTCCATCATTGGAAGCTATACAATGGATCAGATGTGACTACTACTTCAGTTTACTAAAGCTTAACCTGGGAGGGAGAATGCCGGGGGCCAGGAGAGGGAAAACAACAAGTCTGATTTTCACTGGCTCCATTCACTGTACAATTCAAAATCGATAGCAGTTCCACCCAAGCATTAACGTGCAATTGTTTTTAATCCTCAAATGCCTGCCACCCAATTATCTTCCACCTCCAAGCATGTCTCTGAAACTGAAACACTTTTCACACACAAGTATATTTAGTCTCCACTGTAATCAAATTCCAACCCTTTTTCCACTCGGTTCCTAGAAGAATTGATGCAATTCAACAAAGAATTGATGCAATTCAACAAAACTGCACCACTTCTTTTACTGAAGCTGAAAAAGTTGCTCCACTTGAGTTTTAATTAAATTAAGTTGTCTTTTTGTATTTTCCCCACTATGTGACTGTCCATTTTATGTTCAATTTCCAATCCCTCTCTTGACAGGACAACAGCGATTCTGTGGATCTGATATTCTGTGGTAGCAGAGGGACATATGCCATCGACTACAATTTTAGGGCTCCACAAGTGTATTAGAAGAGAGAGAGAGAGGACATAGGGAGTCCTTCCTCTGCCCCTGTGAATCTGCACACGTGTCAGGCATAACATGAGGTTTGTGGCACTGCAGAGTGTAATGTGCACGGGGAGGAGGCAGGAGCTAACATTCTCGCAATGCTAATTCATAGAGGGGGAATTTTTATGCAAGACAAGAGTCCTCTCTCCACTATCTCTGTGTGCCAGGGCGGCTGCGCTGGGCTGAAAACAGATACAGTTCCAAAACATATTCTGTATTATATCTAGTGCCTACCTCAAATACACTGCTTCCAGCATAAGGGAAAATCTACTAATTTGGACCCATATAGTTACTGTGGGATGAAACAGACTATGCTAAAGCTGAATGAAATATCTGAGCTTTAAGCAAAATGCAACATGCAAGATTTGATCCCAGAATATTCCCCAGGCCCTTCACTGATATCGGTTGTCTGACCATATACTTCCAAGAGAGTTAGTCCTGATAGCAACAGAAAGGGATCAAAGAGCACGAACCCAAGACAACGTGGCTGCTGTAGCTCTCCGTTCTGCAATCGCTTTCCAGATTGAGGTCCCACAGGACCTCGTCATATTGATTATCACGCTTTATATATAGTGTAAAAACTTACTGAGAGCAAACCAGGTTGAACTGGGGTATTGTATTGTTTTAGGAATGCTCTAAAATGAATGTTTTCCATTAGCAGTCAGGTGTATTGCAGAAATAATCCCAGCTTGGGTCAAACATTTATAGACAGATGCTGAGGGGGGAAAGTCAGGATGATCTGCAACTGGAGTGAGGGAAATTATAATGTGAATTGTAGGAAAATTGAAAGCCCTGGACAATGAGGGCAGAGAGATGGTTAAATATTGGAAGGGGGTGGAAGGGTTAGCTCCACGTTAGGGTAATATAGTGGCTTACAATAAATAAGACAAGAACTGTTATTGCAAAGTGGAAGGGTGTGAGAAAAATTGGGTTTATCATGGGAAAATAGCTTCAACCTTAACAATGGAGCACCTGTGGATTTCTCCATAGTAACTGTGCACCAGTACAGGTTAAATCCCCAGGTGTGCCAGAAAAGCACTCAGTGCCTCTGTGGAAAAGTCACATATATCCAGTTGCAGGATTGGGACCCTAGACTGCAAGCTTTTTGGAGCAGGAAGCTGGCAAGCTTTATCTGTAAAGCTCCCTGCACACCTATATTACTGTATAAATAAGGCATACACTGTAAAAATCAATACATTGCAAGATGTTGATCATAAAGTTTTTTTAAAAAATACTTTCTTTCAAAGAAGCCTGGGTGAACTCAATTCACTTCATTTATTTTTAAGATAATTTACTGTGCTGCTATTATATACAAGCCCAGCGAAAAATTAGTGCTCCATTAAATTTAAAAAAAAATCTATTAAGTTAGATTCCTGATAAAGGCATTTACTGGACCTATTAATTTAACAGAATATGTTCTCTATTGATTCAAGATTAAAGTCTTTTTTTTTAAAGATTAAAGATTAAGAACTGTTTACTGTGGTACATCCATTCACTTGCAGCCACGAATTCTTTCGGTACTACTTCTGGCCAAATGAAAGTTACATCAAGAGCAAAATTTACAGTGCATTATGCATCACTTAAGAGTGCAAAATTAAATTTAATGGATCTCAAGACTAAGATTTTCAAAAGTGACTAATGCTGTTGGGGGCCTCTGTTTGAGGCCCCCCAACCCACTGGAAATGCCTTAGACATACCTGAGTTTCAGAAAATGCTGAGCACTCACCCTTTAAAAATTGTGCCTTGTATGGTGCCTCAGTAGTGCCAACCCCAAACAATCATGAATCATAGAATATTAGGGTTGGAAAGACCTCAGGATGTCATCTAATCCAATCCCCTGCTCAAAGCAGGACCAACCCCAACTAAATCATCCCAGCCAGGGCTTCGTCAAGCCAGGCCTTAAAAACCTCTAAGGATGGAGATTCCACCACCTCCCTAGGTAACCCATTCCAGTGCTTCACCACCCTCCTAGTGAAACAGTATTTCCTAATATCCAACCTAGATCTCCCCCCACTACAACTTGAGACCACTGCTTCTTGTTCTGTCATCTGCCACCACTGAGAACAGCCGAGCTCCATCCTCTTTGGAACCCCTCTTTGGGTAGTTGAAGGCTACTAGCAAATCCCCCCTCACTCTTCTCTTCTGCAGTCTAAATAACCCCAGTTCCCTCAGCCTCTCCTCATATATATATATATATATAGAGAGAGAGAGAGAGAGAGCTCAGGCATTCAGGAATGAAATCAGGAAGGCCAAATCACACTTGGAGTTGCAGCTAGCAAGGGATGTTAAAAGTAACAAGAAGAGTTTCTACAGGTATGTTAGCAACAAGAAGAAGGTCAAGGAAAATATGGGCCCCTTACCTAATGGGGGAGGCAACCTAGTGACAGAGGATGTGGAAAAAGCTAATGTACTCAATGCTTTTTTGCCTCTGTCATCACGAACAAAGTCAGCTCCCAGACTACTGTACTGGGCAGCACAGTATGGGGAGGAGATGATCAGCCTTCTGTGGAGAAAGAAGTGGTTCAGGACTATTTAGAAAAGCTGGACAAGCACAAGTCCATGGGGCCAGATGCACTGCATCCGAGGGTGCTAAAGGAGTTGGCGGATGTGATTGCAGAGCCATTGGCCATTATCTTTGAAAACATGGTGATTGTGGGACGTCCCAGATGATTGGGAAAAGGCTAATGTAGTGCCCATCTTTTAAAAAGGGAAGAAGGAGGATCCAGGGAACTACAGGCCAGTCAGCCTCAACTCAGTCCCTGGAAAAATCATGGAGGAGATCCTCAAGAAATCAACTGCTGCCTAGACACTCAGTCCCTAGTCTGTAGCAGTGCATGGGATTCTTCCGTCCTAAGTGCAGGACTCTGCACTTGTCCTTGTTGAACCTCATCAGATTTCTTTTGGCCCAATTCTCCAATTTGTCTAGGTCACTCTGGACCTTATCGCTACCCCCCAGCGTATCTACCTCTCCCCACAGCTTAGTGTCATCTGCGAACTTGCTGAGGATGCAATTCATCCCATCATCCAAATCATTAATAAAGATGTTGAACAAAACTGGCCCCAGGACCAACCCTGGGGCACTCCGCTTGATACCAGCTGCCAACTAGACATTGAGCCATTGATCACTACCCATTGAGCCCAATGATCTAGCCAGCTCTCTATCCACCTTATAGTCCATTTATCCAGCCCATACTTCTTTAACTTGCTGGCAAGCATACTGTGGGAGACCGGATCAAAAGCTTTGCTAAAGTCAAGGAATAACACATCCGCTGCTTTCCCCTCATCCACAGAGCCAGTTATCTCATCATAGAAGGCAATTAAGTTAGTCAGGAATGACTTGCCCTTGGTGAATCCATGCTGACTGTTCCTGATCACTTTCCTCTCCTCCAAGTTCTTCAAAATGGATTCCTTGAGGACCTGTTCCATGATTATGCCGGGAACTGAAGTGAGGCTAA